TTAGTCTCAATGGTATTAATCACAACTGTTACTAAAACATTCCCACTGTAGGCATAATACAGTCATTTTTCATTTTTTAGCAGAATTAGCCATTTCATTCATTATCTCAAAGAAGATCTTGAGAGTTTACAATCTCTTAAAATACAAACAGAAGATAATTAATGAAAACATACTGGAACAAGTATCTATTTCTAGTCATAAAAGCCCTATTAACTAGTACAATAACATTCAAGCACAAATTAAAGTAGTAACATTCACAGATGATACCATAGAATATTTTTTTTGTGGGTTGGAAAGATCAGCTGTGGGGTTGTTTGAGGTGGGTTGTGTTTTTTTTAAACATGAAGCTATATGAATGGAGTGCTACATTTAAATTTGCGATACAGAGAAAATAACATTCCGCTGTGGGCAAAAACAGAAATACGGGAAATTTCTTTCCTGTCTCAAGTGAATTATTTCTGGAGAAAGGCTTCTCAGTGTTTTGCTACAGGCATGCAGCTTTACACAGAGAACATTATGCATGTACACATAGAGAGTGCTCTACTGGGGGTGTCTCTCCTGATGCCCTCCTCTATGCCCATCTCCCCACAAAGCTATTTATGGGAAGTAAAGAAAAAACACAGATTCAAAAACGGGAAAAAAAAAAAGAAACCCAAACCTAACTAACACTGAAAACACTGGCACAGAAAAGCTAGTTGATAAGGAAAAAAGCAGCTTCACTCAGTATGTCTCAGCTGCTTCCAAAGCAGAAAGCAATGGGGACGTACTGCTATTATTAGCCCTCCGGATGGGAAGCAGCACGGTTTGAAGCTGTTGGCAAGACGTTGCGGGATTTTCTTTGCATGTATGCACAGGCACAGACACACAGGCAGACAGACAGACCCCACAGAATGCTCATGGTGAGCCCCTTCCCGCCACTCGGGTGAGACAGACAGACAGAGAGCACGACGCCGGCGCGACTGTGCGTACTCACAGCTCGGAGTACAAGAAGTGCAGGTTGCCCACATTGTCTATGTAGTTTGCAGGACTTAGCCAAGGTAGGACCAGTAACAGGAGAGCCTTCATTTTCAGTGCAGTGCTGGCACTGCTGCTAGGTTTCCTCCTTCCCACTGTCTCTTTGTGCTGGTGGGACACACAACGTGAAGCTTTCGTGCCAGCCAAGCCCCTTCTAAGCAAGCCTTTCCATTTCAAGGCAATGGTAGCACATTATGAATCGAGCTTAAATCCCTTAAACGAAGCTACACTGCAAAAATCATTGACCTGTAAGAGGATTACTCGATCTGACTCTCAGATGGGTAGATGTGAGGGTTTAGGGACAGCACAGCGTGGTTGGCGAGACAGTGACTTATGCTGCAGAGGAGAGCGATGCTCGGGGAAGAGACCTGCCTCCTGCAGGATTCAGAGTGGTTCTTCAGAGGCAGCTGGTATGTTTACATCACTGCCCACAAGCAGATGGGTTACGAGCTAAACTGCATCACGGAAGGGTGTAGCTGTCTGACAAGGGGGGAAAAAAATGTCCCCCGTGGAGTTTTGTAGCAGGCGATATCAGAAGACCACACCTTTTTAAAGTAAAACGCTGCAAAAGATCACAGCCAACTGCTGGCTGTTTGCATCTCAGTCTGAATTCCCCAAATCCAGTCAGATGTCTTTGTACAAACATAAATCATGTAATAATCCAAGGACATGTCTCTTCTCGGGGTTTTTTTGAAGGATGCAAGAGCAAACATTTTAAACAAGGATGCTTTCAATGGACTGCTCCATGGTAACTGGTGTTAAAAAAAATGATAAAGTTCTCTCATCAATTACAAAGCAAAAACCAGCAAGCTCACCTTGTCCCATCAGTGACCTCATCTCTGATCGGGGCAAACTTGCGTTTTCCCTCTGAGAACCAGGATTGGTCTGAGCCTGAATCATGCAAGAAATGTGAGGACTGCTTACTGCCCTGGTGACTCTAGCAGAGTCTACTTTAATTTATTCACTAAGAATACAGGTCACGTTCTGTTGAGATTTCAGATGGGCTCTGAGCTGTTCTCACCACAGGCACTGGATGTTTATGATTATTATTGTATTTGGTTTATTAGCAAAGTCACACACTTTCTCTCCCCTCTATTGACTCACCAGACTTAAAGAGAACAGCATCAGCTCAGTCTGCTAAATCTGTGCCTGGGCATGACAGAGCACAATGTCCTTCTCCACTCCTGCCCTGCCATGGTTTGAAGGTGGGATGGCAAGAGAGGTTTCTGCATTTCTGAGAATTAAATTAGGGAGAGAAATAAGATACCTTGGGCAATAATTAATTAATGCTGTGCTTAAAAAAAATTAAAAATAAAGGTACTGCACAGTCTTTGTTAGGCACAAAGGTGCAGAAGCCCCCTTTTAGGGATCATGCAGAATGTTCCCTGCTATTTGTTCCCTCAAGTGGGAATGCCACTAAGGCTGCAGTACCCACACTCTGGAAAGCTGAAGCCCTCAACAGCAGAAGCTCCCCATTGTTTTCTATTGTTGTGTCTCTGCCCTTTGGCCTTAAGGTAACTCAGCCCTTCCAACCATTCTGAGGAAGGAAAATGCATGTCATGAGTGGCAAAGAAGCAGCCATCCAGCCTATGTAGCAATGCTTTGTACTGCAATACCTTAGAGGCTTTAGGGTTTAATGGGAAGGAAGATCCCTGCTCCATCTCTCCAGTCTCCTGGCTCCCTGAATTTGCAAAGCTGGGACTTGTTGCAGGGCGCCTGACACAGGGAAGGAAGCACAGCAAGAGACTGGGGGAACATGTTACTGAGGCAATTCTTTCTACCCCTGGTTGGGCACCGGCCAAGTAAGCCAGAAGGCACAGGATCCTGAAGATCCTGAGGGAATGACCCAGGTCACTAACATTCAACAATAAGTGACAGAATAAAACCTGCCAGGCGTTTACAGGACTCAATCGTGGTTTATAGCACTGCAGTTCTCTAAGTTACGTTGTGAAGGGTATCTTTACTACTAACTTAAGGAGGAGAAACTAAGACACCAGAATGACTTGCATATATGTCCATGTAGGAGAACTAACACTAGAAATCAGGAGCTGTGCTAGCTGTGTGGCTTGTGTAAAACCCCAATATTTCAATTTGCTTATTTACTGGGGGAAGGGATGGAGGTGGGGAGGGTGCGTGTCCTGCATTATCACTATGCATTACGCCACAGCATAATCATGTCAAAACAACGAAGACAAACAGGAGGACCTAAAACACATGAAAATCAACTATATGTCTAGCAAAGGGAACGGGTATTTGCATTGGGACTCAAGTTTTTGTGGTTGGAATCAGTAGAGAAACAATTTCAGTGACAGCAGCTCACAGCAGACAAACAGTCCCTTTACCTTCATTACTATTGAAATTAGCATTTCATAGAATCATAGAATCAACCAGGTTGGAAGAGACCTCAAAGATCGAGTCCAACCCTACTGTTGTTATTAGACCATGGCACTAAGTGCCACATCCAGTCTCATCCTGAAAACCTCCAGGGATGGTGAATCCACCACCTCCCCAGGCAGCACATTCCAATGCCTGACTACTCTCTCTGTAAAAAATCTCTTCCTAACTGACCAAAGACAGAAAATTATGAGTACCTTTGCTGTCTTTTTCCCTTAGCAGCAGGCAAGAAGCCTCACAGAGCACCCCTGGCCTCAGCTGGGGCCTCCTGCCACCTTCTCTTACACCATAAACCAGGAAAAACCTCGCAGGGAACGCCAGATCCAAAACTGGGTGGGCCTAGGGCACCCAAATCCACAAGCATAAAGCCTCTAGCTTATGAAAATTGATCTCATTATGTTTGCAAGGAGTCAATAAACCCATTGCTAATGGGTTTTTTTGTCAGTTTTAGTAATGGAAAATGGTCATATTTCTGGTTGGCTAAAACACCATAACTTCAGTGAATATCTTCAGTGAATAAAATCCTAGTGAGAATCCAGGTGCTTCAGAAAATGAGGTCTCCAGTTCAAATGGGGACATGTTTGAATGGCAGGCTGCAGAGCCATTTCCAGTTACAGGCTGCAAGACTGTGAAGCATGCAGCCATGTGAACATACCTCTGCTCTCTGGCTCACCAGCCCACTCAAGAGGGATGCTCTGACCCTCAGCATTGCCATGTCTGTGCAGGAATGTGCCCCCAGCAGCAGTCTGGAGCTCTTTGCTGACTGTCCAAGGCTTCCTCTGCCATGCACATGTAGACACACACACACCCACAATCTGCTGCAAACTGCAGGGGAAATCATTTCACTGGACAACAGACACAGGCCCCAGAAAAGGGCATCTCCTAGACCACGTCTCTCCTCAAACCTGAGGTCCTATTACTCAGACTATGCCAAAGCATTTGTCTGCCATCAGAAATCACAGGCCTGAATGTCCCTCTTTACTCTTCCGCCCTCCTTATAAAAGACACAAGATGTAAGACAAAAGCAGCAGCACACACTTTTACTCTGCAAAACAGAGAATCATCATCAGGTTTCTCCCTGCAGAGGTACCAAACTGTGCCCTGGAGAGGTCTTTCCCAGAGGCAGGATGGAGAGTGTCCTGGCCAGCAGGAGAGGTAAGCCTGGAGGGGGAGTTCCACCAGGCTGCTGTTCCAGACCATGTGAGCCCCACGGTGCAGTGCCCTGGGTATGTGCTCACCTGGAAGAAAGGAGCACTGAGCTCCAAAGACCAATACCAAACCAGAATATTTTCTGCTCTACTTCTCATGTAGGTCATTTGCGATTCAAAAAAGGTTTGAGGAAAGGGCAATTATAAAACCCTTAATGTACTATTAAAATATTTATAATAGCTCAGCTTCCCAAAACTCAGAGATCTCTTCAGGCTACGTACACACTTATGCAGCTAACCACAAGGTATCCACCCAGAACTGCTAACAATAGCATGAAGTGCCTTGAATGCATTTGATTCTAAAAAAAAAGGGTGAGAGATCATCATATAAATGGACTAATTTTAGCTCTAAATTAATGACACGGTCTATCAACAGCAACTTACTGGGTTTGGAAATGCTGTTCGAGGTGACCCCGTTGCACGACCTCTGAGCAGTGTTCTGTGAAAGGGCAGCTAACCATTAGCTTGTCCAGGAGGTTATTCACTAGTATGCTGGATTTCCTGCATGTCTGGAGAATCACAAGCTTGCGGTCCATGGGGCAGAAGTCTTTTTCCACGAGGAAGTTTGTAAGGCAGGCTGTGCAGAAGGTGTGACCACAGAGCGTGTCTAACGGCTGAAGCAAAGGTTGCAGGCAAATGTGGCATATCAGATCATCATCCACCTCTTCGGTGTAGCTGTACAAGTGGTTTTCTTCTGGTAAATGCGATTGGCCGCAGGTGACACAGAGTGGTGGGGAGCTGTCCTCCATTTCTTTTTCTTTCTGGCTCATAATCAGAATTGATGCAATTCAGAAGGGGGCAGGCAGGAATATCCAACCCGTTTTCTATTCATGAGAGCTGCAGCAAGGCTCGTTTGCCATCAGATCTGTGGGGAGGAAAGCAGAAGGATTATGTTCTGGGTTGTGTTCTCTTACCATACTTAGACCGTGTATCTGGATATGAAGCACTTCAGCAGGTATTAGGAAGAATTGTGCCTTTGGGACAGGAGGGTGAAGCAAAGAAGGGGGCAGAAAATAAAGAGAGGGAACTCCAGGGACTTCTTTTCTCTTAAATTCAATTCGATTTACACAAGTTGCTTTCATTGTAAAGAAAGATATCAAAATAGACAGAAATACTACAGGCATTTAATGGTTGAAAACCTTAAATTGGTATATAATTGCAGTTCCAGTCAGCTGATTTTGTAGCTGCTGGAAAAGCAGCTTTGTGTGTAGGCAAAGATTGCAAGACTATGTGCAGAAATATAGGTAAGAATAATGGTTACTGTGTAAGTCACCTGCTCGGCACAGCAAGCGAGAGCAAAAGCTTCACCTAATACACACGAGCATACAGACACTGCACGTGTAGCCAGAGGGAGGACAATTTGGGTCATGAGAACTTAGAGTTTAGGACCTTCTAGACCATCCTCATACCACCACACCAAAGACCCAGGCCCCTGTATTCAAAGCTTGTCTGCTTATACCCCCGTGGCACTGCTTTGGATGCCTGAAGTCAAGCAGTTATAACCATCTGCAGCAGCATGATCAGTTCAAGACCTCATTTACTTCCCAAAACACCAAATACCTCACATGCTGAAGAGAAGTCCACAACACAATGCCAAGTACTGTATAGCTCAAAAATAGGCCTATTTCCTTCATAATTTGTAATACAGAAACCCAGTATGTTCCTAACTACAAACTCAATTAACTCTGGCCAGAGCACCTGCCTGCTGGTATTTTAAAGATGTAATCTCTGTGGGTGGCAGCAAAACTGAAGAGTAATTTGTAGTTTTTACTTGATGAACCCCAACTGCTCATTGGAGCACTTATGTCTCATTACATCTATGCTTATTTTAATATAACACTTTGAAAATAAACATGAAGATATAAAATATGCAATGGCCTAATTACTGTTCTTGCTTGAAAATGTAAATCTTATTTGCTGCTCTGCCGTAACACTGTACCCTTACTTCCAGCTTGACTTAATTTGCTGAGACAATGTGTCAGCCTCAGACACCCACGTCTGAGGGCAAATGAGGGAAAGAATAATAAAAAAAAATCTGACTATGACAGAGCATATTTTCATACAAATAAAACCTTATTTTTATGCAAAGCTCATGAGCTCTAAACCTGAGAAATTAAACTTTCACATGGCAGGTTTTTCTGACATGAAGGTAAATTAACAGCTCTACTAACTCTAACCAGATGCTTAAATGTCAAACATTCACTTCAATGCTTTGCTAGATCCTATTCTTATGTAGCAATTATGTTAAGTGGCTGTATAATAATAGTTTTTGCTAGGAAGACTAAATTCTGCATAAGCTCTGTCTCCTGATTAGCCTCAGTGGAATTAAAATCATTACCTATTAGAATGCTTGCAAATATTTAAATTACTCTATACTGGGTCAAATGTTTCCTTTCGCAAGAATATTCACCAGAGCTTTATGAACAGCTCTTTGTGAAGAAACAGACATCTTTCTAGAGGGTAGAAAACAGCTCTACCTGTTACCTTAATACAGGAATTATTATTTGGTTCTACCAAGCTGACACACAGCAAAATCAAAAGAGAAAAAATGATCAGAGGCAGTGGTGGGGACTGTGTGGCCACTGCAAGTAGCTCCTGGTAGTTCTTAGACAACTTCTCAATGAAGTGTGGTGGCTGTGAGCTGGTGTTTGATCTACTAGCAGCAGTGTGTTTTGCAATGAGAGGGAGAGCTGCTCTTAGCATCCCTCACTCATGGAGGGAGCCCATCTCAAGTCTACAGAACTGCTTGCAAGAATGACAATACATGGCTTGGAAATTGCAGGATTGCAGCTTTCAAAATAGATGTAAAATGAATTAGAAATCAATAAAGCATGGAAAAATAGCAGTGTGTTATGAACTTTGTTTTTTTCTTACATTTTCAAAAGGCCTTGCACCTGGGGCAACCAAGAATGTTGGCAATGTGCTGTTTCTACACCCCTGCCACATCATCTTGAAAACAGCACACACAGGTAGATCCACATGGGTCCTTTCCCCATTCACCACAAACCAGAATACAACCAGCCTCAACATTGTGTTGCCTCATGGATGTTCTAAGGACAGAAACTTGTTTCCTGCTGGCAGAAGACACAACACAAAGCTCCTATCAGCAAACCTGCTAAAAGCTAAAGCCAAAACCCTGCTCTGAGGCAGGAGCAGCCTGCAGGAACAGGAGTACAGGCATACAAATGGCCCTTTCCCAACCTCATGCCCTAACCCTGAAAGTACCTCTCCTTCACTCCCACATGTACAACACATCAACTCCCCTGATACAAATTAGGTACAGCTGGAAACGGTGCTATAGCTCTGAAGCAACTACAATTATTTCCACAATGACAGCAGAGAAAGAGAGACATCACTGCCCTAAGGCCATGCTCTGTTGCAGCAAAAACTATGAGAGAAGCTGCAGAGGATGCAAAGTCTGACTGTCCTGACCACATTACAGATACTCTTTATGCATCTGGCATACTAATAATGCACTGTCAGTTGATAACATGCAGGTGAAGGGAGCTGTACCTGAATTTCACAATGTTTACATAAATTGCAAATCCTTGCTATAGCACAGGGAAACAATACTATCCATGTCAAGTAGTAAAAAAGCATTGAAGTTTTAGGAGGATTCTGTTCAAATCCTATGGCCTATTTTGAAAATTTAGACTACAAAATATTATAAATTCTGAAAAGAAAATAAATCTCAGCCTCTTCTGGCTAACCTGGTCCATGATCACCCACAATGAACCTTCAAAAGCCTCTGGACGTATCAAGCAATGAAATGATTGCAATCTTTGGGAAGTGATTACACCACCAAGAGTTAGCACAGAGAGAATGTGATGGAGTTGTCACACAGATTTGGTCAGATGTAAATGTTGTTTGCAATGTTTGCAGTCATTTGTATTTATAACATTTATGTGTTGTCATAATAGCTACATAATTAATTGCATTTTCTTTTAGGAAGCTTAAAGCCTTGATTTCTCTTGAACTGTGTAGACAAGACGGGAGAGGGAATTTAAAATTTACCTGCTAATTACCAGTGCGTATTTCTAATTTTCTATTACCTATGAATAAAAAAATATACACTCTGAGCAAGGAAACCTGTACAGATGGATGGTAAATGAGAATAGATAGATGGCAAAATGAGAACAAAAAGACAATTATTACCTGGCTGAACTACTGTTCTTTAAGGCTTGTTATTAGGGGAGAAGGAGAAAGGAAAGGAGTGGGGAGGAATCCTACCTCACCATTTGCAATTGGTGTCAACCACCACTGGCAGCCTCAGCAGGACATGGATGTTACCTTGCAGTCTCACACTTCTTACAGTCAGAGCCATATTGACAGAGACTGGTTGATGCATGGAGGATTGGCAGGAGGAGCTTTCAGAGGAGGTGGTGGTGCCATTCCCAAGAAGACATCATCAGTATTTGCCACTTTGCTGCTGTGCAAGAAGTTTTCAACCACTGAGGTCCCAGATTTAGCATAGTTGTACAGTGCCTAGCACAGCTTGACTTACATAAATAAAATTAAATACTGATTTGTAAGGTTATTACAGCATTGTAATGCTGCAGTAAATCAAGCTTCGGTCCAAGGCAGAGACCTCAAGCACAGGAATATGCTGCAAATGATGAAGGAAGAACATTGTCATCCTGGATATCCATAATGCCAAGTTTTCAGCCACAAGCTGGACTGAGAATGGTCACATCAGGGCATGAAATAACCCCTAGGGGTGTGTGACCACAGTGAAAACCACTATCATCTTAACGCAATTTTTAAAGAAGTTAGCCAACAGGCTGCACTGATTTGAATGAGTTTGCATCTTACTGATGTTCACTGCTTGGGTATTTGCAGCCACCAGAAGCATTTAAGAGAATAACAGAACAAACCCAGACAAAAAGCATGGACAGTAAACATGGAGAGCAGGCAGAGAGAATGCCTTTCAGCTCTTTGCATAGCCAAGTCCATAGTTGTCCCATCCCAGGGAAACTTGTAACCAACCTTAACCTTAAATCCTGACTTACCACCACGGTTACACTGGCAGCAGTGCAGCAAGAGGAGGGCTCACCCAGCAGAGCGTCAGAACTCTACTGCCTCTGCCCAGCCACACTGTCAAATATTAACCCAGCAGTTCAGGAGGCTGCACTTGGAAGTGGCATGGCACAAAATGGAACTAACTTCACGTAAAGTAAAAATTAGTAACAAAGGCTAAAAGAAAAAGAATTAAGTAATGAAAGCTAGTAGGGAAATGGCTATCACAGGAAGAAAAATGTAGATGCCTAAAGGCCAGAGAGAATGACACAGAGCATGAAGGAGCAGCAACTGGCTTAAATCCCAAAGGGTGAAAGACAAGCCAGTGAAGTGGTGTCACTGAGAGACAGGAGAAACACAGAGGAGCTGCAAAACAGAGGAATTTAGCTCCAGTAACTCTGAAGTAGCATTGCTTGGATGTGGGGTTGGACTTGATGATCTTTGAGGTCTCTTTCAACCTGGTTGATTCTATGATTCTATGTAATGAAATCCTTAGTCAAGGGTAAGGGTGGCCAGCATGTGGAAGGAAAATGGATTCTGAATAGTACAGGAAGATTGACAAATATTAGTGGGTTTGGTTTTGTTTTCTCTCTATAAGTGACACATTTTATTAATGCTCCAATTTTATTTTTGGACTCTAAGCATGTGCATAACAAGTCTTGAATCTGCTGATTAAGAGGGGATGCCTTTCCACACCCCGTTTCTCTGGTGTACTACCCCACCACAGGTGGATGTACTACTGACAGAGCTGTTG